TTTTAGATGAATTTCTAAATTAAGTGAATTATTCAACTCGAAAAAGTTGACAGAAAAATTAAAATGGCTAGCACTTTTTATATATTTTTTTCAACAGGTTATAGTGGATTTTATAAATATTTCCAATGTAGGTCTACGGCATTTTATGTTCTAATGAAGTTTTATAACTCTCATAGAAATTCTAATAGGAGTAATACCAGAGTTACCCAATTTATTGTATCCATAATTTTGAAATTCGGAACATGCAGCTATGGCGAGTTTCTCTCTTCGAGTTTATTTTTATTTGTATTGCTGTTAACATTTAACGTTTTATTGAATTTGCTTTAAGTCTATTTAAATCTCCGCACATTAAAAATTTTGACCATTATTTCAAATAGCGTTTATAAGTCTAAGTTGGCAAACGTTTTACCACCTTGCTAAATATACTTTAGTTCAGACTATGTGGAACATCCTCTAGAACCACGTCGGGTCAAAACTCCGCCTCCCGTAAGAAAACCTGAAGGAGCCTTTGATGGCCAATCGGTCTATCAGACTGAATACACAGGTTTGTAAAATCAAGTTAAAGGAATTTTAGTTTGACGAAAACAATAGGTTCTCAGAGGTATTTAATGTATTTCAAAATGTTTTTAGTGAAACCTAATGTCTTCTATAAAGTTTTCATTTTTCCTTATATCTGTGCTACTCCTTAGCCACATTTTAATTTTTTATTACCTTTTCAAGCTCTAACTGAACATAACTCCATTTTAAAGCATCATTTTTTCGGGAGAACATAGACAACGCAAGTTTCTGAATAAATATAATTTGCGGATAAAAATGACCAGCAGATTTTCATTTCAATTAACTATGAAGAAGATACCTGTGCTTATTTTAGAAAAAGAAGCGTGTAGAACAGCACCAATCAAGCCAAAAGCATCAAAGCGGACAAGCGGCCTATTCAAAGGCGAACCGACTTACAAAAGTAAGTGTGTACTATCTGAACGTGTAAGAATATAATGGGGTCATACAACTTTGAAAACAGAAATATTGAAAAAAGGTCCTTTATGGGACAAATTTAAGTGAGCTGTTTACCACAAAATGGGACGTACATTAAATAGTTAGGGCGGATGTGTAGCCACTGTCATTACAAAACCATTATATTTCATAGAAGAAGTTTTGAGCAAAATAATAACTTGATAAGCAAAATATTTCTACTGTGTGCAATGGATTATTTTGTGCAGAAGGCATTCAAGTGAGCTTTCTCATTCTTCGTAGAGGCAGCTTAATTTGAGAATTGTGTTTAGCAGAAAAATCCGAAACTAAGCGACCTAGCTTCTTGGGAGCTACAACGTACGTATATGCGGTAAGGAGAATAATTGAAGACAAAATATGTAAACGGACGCTCAATTTATCTGGGGGAAACTACCATTACGCGGGGAAAAATAGGAATAAATTTACGAATTTAAGTTTAAGTATAAAACAGTTCATTCAGTTTTCCTGTTATTCAGACATGCTGTAAATGTTTCCCTAATGGAGGACCATGAAGTATTAGCAACTCTGTACCAGTACTGGAAACCCCGTAAGCTGCGTTGAACCCTCTTTCCCTAAGCATAGGATAATGAGCATCCAGTATAGCCTAGATGTTTAAAGTGGCTTTATCCATGGACGTTTTATAAGTTAAATGACTCGGAACGTCTTTTAATTAATTAAGACGGAACTCTGCTGCATGTGGGTATTCGTAAACACTGTCGATCATTGCTCGGCCAATTACACAGAAAGCAGCATGCGAACGCCACGGTGAATGCTTAAACATGCAAATAATCTATTCGAAGGTGCTTGAACTGCAACGAACACAGAATATTCGAAAGAAAACCTCCTTGAAAAGTGTTATGTCTCTCAATGGAAAAGTTTTAATGTAGATGTTTGTTGAGTAGTGGATACTTCTGTGCTTACAAGGTCTTGGAAATGCTCATTAACAAGCAAACTGTTAAGCAACTTTACGTGCTTTTCAAAGGTGTCAGAAATAAGTTCGGTGAAGGCTAAATTATGCTATAAATAGAAAGTTTGTGATATGTTTTGAGGAGATGTAACTACGGCAGACTTAATTCATAATGGCCAATATTTAGGAACAAAGTGTTCAAAATCGTAGCCGACTGATGTTTGGCCCCTAATATCTAACTTTGGTCAAAGTTAGGCATAATGGCTATGCTTGAAAAGTGAAGATACTATGCCTCAGGCCCTAGCCTATTGTAAGTGTACAACAGAAGAAATCAATACGCCTTCGTTAGTCCATGGGCAAGCACGATAAAGAATCACGTCGGGGAATGTCAGGACTCCTTGTGAGATATATTATATTGCTTTGCGGTCGCCCATGTAAACTCATGTAAATAACCCACAATGCTGAATGCGGCTTTTAGCAGATAAATGAAAGTTATTCTTTCGACATTTCGCCTAGTTCATTCGGCTAACTAACGAAACCAAATAGTTGCTACTTGAGGGCGGTGAAGCAGTAAACATTTGGCGGGGTTGCAGGATGACGTGAAAGCTTACAAACAAAACCGAAATACGGAAAGTGTTTGGACAGGAGGCAAAAAATGAAAAAAAAGCAGCATGGTGTGAGCATTCAGGAAGACATGGAGAAGCCATGGCCGGGCAGGGTTACGAGAGTGTAGGTGTGTGTGGCGTGTCTTCTACGGCCTCATGTGAACATTTTAAAGCTATTTGTGTTGCGGCATCTGTTCGGCAGTAGAAGTCTCTGAAACGCAGCTCTGCCAAAAGTGTGAAAGTAAATTGGAAATACACTATCAAGCATGTTGCCGATGCAAACGAAAAGAAGTCACTTTGGAGCATCAGCTAAGACGACAGGAACTTAGTATTGGCGTACAAGATTAAATCTTGTGACGGTTTGCATATTCACTCGACGTTGACACCTGTTTCTGTCTCTGGGGATGGCTTTGTGTGTGAGTTCAAAGCGCCAAGAAGATAAAATTCTTATTTCGGCCTTCGAGTCTCCTTGTTGTTAAAATGTTGACGAAGTATCCAGCGTGACACACTATAAACATTGAAAAGGGGCAATATAACAGAAAAAGAGGCTCTTTGACTATGACCTTGCAGAAATATCAGTTAGAAAGCTAGGTATTAATATGCATTGATTCTGCATCCCGTCAGCTGACTACCGGACGTGGGAAATCAGTCCACACAAACCCTGTGGACCACAACGAGAGTATGTACCACCTAGCGTTGCTTTCGACGGGGAGGCGACCTACACTTCAGACTACAAGAACTACGGTCCAATAAAGCCAGTCGGCGCCTGCCGGCCTACAATTTCGCGGCCACAGAGTCACGGAGCTGTGGACGAGAGCAGTTACATGACGGACTACCGTGACAGTTACCTTCCTCCACCGGAGGGCTTTACAGTACAACATGCTAAAAAACCCTACCCTGCTAGGGTAGACTTGGGCCCCTTTGATAATGCGACGACCTCTAGGTCAGATTACGGCCCGAAGCAAGCTGGTAAGTCAGTCAGGCTTTTTCTGTGCGCCCCAAGGGCGCTGCGACTGACCGCAATCTTTAAATTTGCTGTCGAGCTGATTTATGCGCCTGCAGTAAAGTACTATGAGGTCCGATGGAAGCACACTCTTCGATCTCTAAGATAAAAAATGTCATCCAGTACTTGTTTTAGCCCTGATTTTTATGTTTTTTTAATGCCAATTTATATGGTATCCTCATATACACAAGCTGTCTGAAAGCCGAAACATGACCGGCCAGCCACTTTTACCTGACAACTCAGCGATACAAAGAGAGTAAGATCCAAAACTAAGATAGACTATCAATTTGTCGAATTAATTGATAAATTCTGTTAAATTGGGCCAATTTTGTAAAAATGTTCAAGGAAAAGTTAAAATTGATCTTCAGAACAAGAATATGCTGACGTCCTTGGACTGAGTTCAATGAAAACCTTAATTTTCGTTGACGAACGTTCACCAATCGCTAAGAGAACTCACTCGCCTCACTCACTTAGGCGCTTCTGTCCGTTGATGGCTAGTGTGCAGACTGTCTTAATCCTTCACCGAATATAATTTATTGTGATCCGATGCACTCAAAACTTGGAGTCAGCAGGACCGTAATGATACCTACCGTCTTAAGTGTACGCATACAGGACTTACAAATTGCTTTCTAGTCGAAATTGTGAGCTCACGATCTTCAAATCAGTGAAGTTGCTTATTCCGAGTTTTGGACGAAAGATGTAAGGAAAGTGAAGTTGTAGGGTTTACGTAGTGGTTGTACCCAGATCACTTTAATCATCAGGCCAAATTCCAAATTTTAGTGAAGAGACTGAAGGCATCTGTGGGGGGATTTATTATACAAAGAACTCCCAATTGCTGTCTCAGGCAGTAGTGGCCTCTGTCAAAGCCAGAGTCAGTGTTGAATGCGTCCATTCATGCCTGAGAGAGTGTGTAAAAGAGAGCGAAGACAGTCGCTTTTACATGATTGTGAGGCAAATTGAAGTGGTGTGCGATTGGTGTGTTGGAATAAGCGAAGGATGTCGTGTATACAGACCCCTGCTGCATCGGCCGAGGGGGGGGGTGTGTTCAAGTGGCCCTTTGGCAGCCGCGACTATTTGGAGACGCGTATGTGCCCGTGGATGTTGGTCAAGGGTCTTCAGATCAGCGAGCTTGGAAGCGCTTCCTGCGAAATTGCGTGACCTTGAGGTAGTGGGCGTTGAACAAAGAAGTCGGCCAGCAACGTTGGCCTTACGTCACAAAGTGCACGAATCGTCGCCAAGCTGAACTCTCATGACTATTGACTATAATAGCGCCAAAATGTGAGTCCGGCGGTTGATCACTACGGAGACCACCCTCTGTTGGCAGTTTTATTGCACAGTTGGCGTCGATGTCAGGGTTTTAAGGCCTGTTAGATAGCGAATAGTCTATACAGCTCAATGCTGTCCAATTTAGTTGTTGAGATAATTTACTGACACCATTTAAATCTAGCGACAGGGGTTTGGGCACAAGTAGCTAGCATAGGTCAGAAATGGTAGCTAGGGATACTCGTTGATGGACGTTCACCGATCGTTAACTTAACTCATTCGTCGCACTCTGCTTTGGAGATCATTCTCGAGCCACGCCAACGGCAACACAGTGGCTGGTAGT